TCGTCGTCGTCGTCGTAGTCGTCCTAGTAGTAGGCGTCGTCGTCGTCGATGGAAACACACCTTTAGCAACGACATGACCTCCGGTCCCCAAAACGTGCCCGACTGAACCACCAAAACGTGAATGTGTCCAAAAGCAGGGCACGAAATTAGTCCTCGAAGCCGGTCGCGAACTATTGAGGCAAGAGCAGTGTAAGCGAATCTGGAGAGGCTCGTCTTGGGTCTTGGGCTCGAGTACATGGTGGCGCAGCTTCCTATTCGGATGTGCAAGCCGTTTTTGGCGTCGACCCACAGACAACCCCACAGAAACGTCGACAAGGAACAGATCCCAACGAGTTGGCCTCTGGAACGGACAACTAAGCAAGCCAGAAAGTAGCCCACAAAGGCAGAAGCTCGGGGATCAACCTTCAAAGAGCCCTGCAGTAATAGCCAGTACTTAACCTGTTCTTGGAAGCATCGTTGTTGCTGAACATCAGCGGCCGCTGAAGCTTTGAAGTGATGGAGGCTTTCTCTGCATCCACTTCGAAGATGCCTGGGTCTCATCAGAAAGAGCTAACGACAGCGGCTATCCCACCACATCCAGAGTTGGGGTCGCTTTTCATATAAGGCAGAAATGGAAAAGGCCCACAAATAATTGAGTTCTTCGGTTGCTCCATTTCGAGTCTAGAGTGCACTTCTGTGCTATCTTGGGACAGGGTAGGAACAGATTCGTTGACGGGGGGGTCTTGGACTGGTTACATGAAGCCAGGTCACAACCAAACCCCCCAAGAGAGTGCTTTTGTATTACCAGATAGAAAGGGCAGGTCGGGCTCCTCAAAAGCCTCTTGCAGGGCTTTGTTTGGGTCACGGAGAAATCTGGTCCCCGAAAACTTCTTGGGCATCCGGGCATCCTACTCTGCCCACTGCGTCTGACACAGGAGTCGATGCAATTAGATTTTTGCTTTGCGCATCTCCTATCGGAATTGTGCCAGGAAAAAACGATAATAATTCCCGCACCAGCTGAATGTATGGGAAGCGGTCAAATCCCAAGAACTCACATGCCCTGCACGAGAGCTTGTTGGCGTGCAATTCGAGGATCCTGGTTCACTTTGTAGGATCTTTTAGGCCAACATCCCAAGAAACTGCATGGGCCCTGAAATTCGGGATCTCAGGACCGGTGCAGGACCTGTGCAGGAAACCAAAGGACATACTTAAGATCTGTTCTGTGTGCAACCCTCTGTATTTCGGTATAGCGCTGCTCTGAAAGGCTCAAACTCAACGACTTCCAATCTTACAAGTAAGCTCTTCGGAGACACATTTCTTCAGGATCTTCGTCACGCATACAGATCGCAGATCAGGATCACGGTACCAAGGGATGATCACGTGATCCTTTCGCAGGACCCGAGGCGGCTACGGAAGACGCAAAGTAACTCAGAGAGTCCCGACAGTATCACCTTAGTCATCCAACAATACAGGTCCGTGTGTTGGTTTTTGCAAAGGGCATGTTACGACTTTGAAGAGGGACGGGACGATAAACCCATGCCTAACATGTACTAGGCAAACAAAGACGGCCGCTGTCCTTACCTGTGGCCTTCAAACTCTGGAAAGGTTAATTGTAGTTAAATTGCCATTCGACCCCTGCCCGTACTACAAGATCCCGAGTAAAACATCACCCGGCACAGTTGGATTAAATGCGCCAGCAAATGACAACTAATCTGTGCCAGACCAGGGTAAGTGTTCTTCTGCTTGCAACTTGCCACCACATGGGAGTTGAAGTGCCTCCTGGAACACTCCAAGCAGCCTTTGCCCCTACATATTTCTTGTATCTTCTTACAAACTAGTGGATCGGCAAAAGGGTGCCCCGGGAGCCAGGACACGATTACTGTCAAAGGATCCAATTTGCAGCAACAACAACTCCTGGCATTCAGGAGATGATCCCTTCCACGACGCGACTCCTGTGTCTCTGTGGCTCCGCCTGAACCCTCGGTCCTCAAAGAGACTCCTCAAGTCCTCTGGGCATCGCTCGATCAGCTCGCCCAATTCGGGCTTGCCGTGACGTTCGTCCTAGAACCCAACGCACACTAGCCGAAATGCTTTTTCGTTAAGGAGCGAGTCGTGTATGGCGTTCGCGAGTGCAGCTCCCCAATTATAACTCCCCGACGAGCAAGCAAGAAGTTTCAAGTCTGAAGGCCTTGGAAGGCCTTGTCTGTACCTGAAGCTGGTTCTGACATAACCTGGATAAGAGCCCACCTACATCTGTTCCACAACGCGAGGGAACCTTCTGGGCGAGGGGCTTTTCGGTAAAAGTATGTGGCTCAATCGCGGGCCTTGTGTGTGAACTTCGATGTCAATTCGGCAGAATTCACGTACCCTTTTTCTATGTGGAGCTGAGCAGCGACTTGTGGAAAGAGATCTACAAGCAGCCCGGTCTTGCCGTATCGTGGATGGGAAGGCTCCCGAGTTCAGGGTTCTGTATCGGTTTACGGTTGGAGGTTGAGGGGTTCAGGTCACAATGGTACAGATCCAACCGAATCTCTACCCAAGTCTACATCACAGGCTTCAAAACTCCTAGAACCATGAACCGAACGCATTAAGTCGGACAGGCCACAAAGTACAGATGGACTGCGACACAAGGGTTATGATTAAGCCCTATACATCCACGCAGCCAAGGACCGAAAGGAGCCTGATAACAAGACGAGGCATGGAAGTCTCATAAGAGTCCATGGCAAAGCAGAAGCGAGAGAGAGAGAGAGAGCGAGAGCGAGACACACATAGACAGAGAGAGAGCGAGAGATCGAAACAGAGGGGTAGACATGTACATATATATATATATATATGCAGAAGGGAGAGAGAGAGAGAGAGAGAGACTGAGAAATAAAAAAGAGATGATGATGATGATGATGATGGTGATGATGATGATGGTCATGATGACGGTGATGATGGTGATGATGACGATGATGATGATGATAATGGTGATGGCGGTGGTCATGGTGATGATGATGATGATGATAATGATGATGATGATGATCCTGGGCTCACCCTTCTTACGTCCCTCAAGGTAGACGGCAGGAGCATTTCTTGACGCGAGTTTTGGTGGGACTCATCTTCCCTCAGTGGGTGCGAGCTGCTCTCGCCACCTTCCTTTCTTCCTGTCATCCGCCCTTTTTTCTCTTATTTCTGCATGGCCCTGTGCCAGATCAGACCACACCAAAACCTAGGAAAACAAAAGACATGACCCTGAAACAGAAAACCCGACACGCTACAGCTCAAGCGAGCAGCTGTTTCAGCCACAAGGACGATGTTCTTGCCCGATTGCATCGCCCAGCGCATCTCCATCTGGCAGAACTTGCTCTGCGTGACCCCCTGGGTGAGGAACCTTGGCTTTTGGGCTTTAGGGATTTGTGGGTTCAAGGCAACGTTGCCTTCTTCCAGACCAAGCCAGGGTCCACAATGCATTCTGCACACCGAAATGGAAATTCTAGCCAGAGAGAGAGAGAGAGAGAGAGAGAGACAGAGAGAGCCTGGCGTTTTTTCGGGGGTTTGACTCATGGCTTCTGAGTGCCAAAGTTTGCGAGTAGACGGACCAAAGCAACGGATCTATCCTATAGAATCTTCTTAAAGACATCTGAGAGCTGACATTTGCAACGAGGACTCTGTCAAGCTTCATGCTGCAACCTCCCGAGCAAACAGCCAGGCTTGTGAGCCTCTGTATAAAGTCCTTTCCGACAACGGCGGGACGGAAAGGGAGCTTTTGGTTGGGCCTAAAACCCGCCATGGCAGCTCAGCCTGGTGCGACGATGCGAGAGTCTGGGTCGTACGAATTTGCTAACAAGCGAGATTCCGGAATCAAGGCACCGTACAAAGGACCAACAGAAGGAGGCAGCAATGGATGCGGAACTTGCCACTAACATCAGCCTAAGCAGGCTACAGATGTGGTTTGCACCAAGCCTGAACCAGCTGCACACTGTAGACGACAACACACAAAACTACGAAGTGCGCCAAGGGACAACAAAAAATTCTTCGAATTGCTAACGCCATGGCACATGCCGGGAACCGTAGGATCCTTCACAGGGAACATCAGGCAGTCACTGCTTGTGCCCGTCCAGCACAATGACAAAACAGAAATAGAAATCGAGCTGAAGGCAGGGCCAAATGGTTCTCAGAATCACAAGTCTATATCCAAGGCCGCGGCTAAGTGTTCCTCTTCTACTCGGGCTGACCCTGCAAAGCCCTTTGAAAGGCCTACTCACCGAACTTCGCTCTAGCAAGATAGCATGCCCGACAAGCTCCTGTAGAATCACGAGGATGACGCGTTGGCTTACAGTCAATTTCTTTACAGCAAGCCCAACTTTTCATGCATGTGGAAGCAGTCCTGTTCAATGTCTAACCAAAAGCTGCACGAAGGCATACGCTCACCTGAAGCGCGCGCGGCCCGCGTCGACGTGAGTTCATGATCGAAAACAGGGATTGGGGGCTCGTTCTGCACACCTGTTACAATCATCCTGTGAAGAACTTGAGTTGCCTGCCTCTCTTGCCTCAGGAAGCATGCCCAGCTTGTGAGCAAACATTCTCTGAAAGGCAGGAAAGAACGGAACAAGTCGTTCGTGAGAATGTGCTCTGCTGCGTGGAGATGGAAGCTTTGGAATGTCAAGATGCTCGTGCCATGGCAGAATTCCCACACTAGACCTACCCACCAAGGCCCCCAGATTCTCTTGGTGAAAAAGTTGCCCAAACCCCAACATCTCATCAAGTCGCTGAGAGCCATGCGAAGATTTTGGATGGCATCTTGGGCATTCGACTGCTTATGGCTCAAGAAGAAATCCCAAGTGCACTTCGAGTAAGGCACCGAGGAAGCTTCCTCGGCTCGGTGCGCCAGAGCCCCATGATTCGTGCATCCTACACGCATGGGTTATGTTGCAAGGCAGCCGCACTGCTAGCATGAGTAATTCGATAATTCTTACAAGTACCAGAAATAATTCCACCCTTTGACACAAGAAAGCACCAATACTTCGGACGGTGCAAATACTAGCAACCTGTTGGGCAGAGCAGCTACAATACTAAGTTCACGGGTGCTGCTGACCGTATTCATCGATCAATCGATTTACGATGGCTGGGGTGGTAATAGTAATCCAGCAAACACTGCTGGCGCGAAAATTGTTACGAATGTTACGAGTACTAGGTGACTACTACCTACTTCTCTTACAACAACATTGCTGGACTCGTGAACATAGCCACCCATAGATGTACTTGTGTGTCTAGTATGGCTGCTGACAATAACATCTTGAACATTGTAAATGTCGCTAGTACTAGCTACTAGTACTGCCAGTAATGCTGCGACAGCTGTGTTGATGCGTCATGTAACTGCTAGCGTTAGCGATATTAGTAACCATACCAGCATTGCTGGTTATACATCAATAATACTCTCAGCGTTGTTAAAAACACCACTAATTACAACACTACTCCTACACTACCAGTACTATGCATGTTACTGGTAGCACAAACACCGCATGATGAAGATTCTTTCGTAGCCACAACTACTGCCGGTACTACTGTTGGTACTCTTCAACGCAAGAACATCACGACTTCCGTCAAACACAGCAATTCTACTAATATGGCTTACATCGCGAAAATGGTCCATCCACTGTGTGTACTGATGTCTAATATTTGTCAGAATTTGCAAGGAAGCATCCGAGGGGAGTATCTATACAAGTATGTATGTATATATATATATAATTTCTTATATTATATATATATATATATATTGTGTATGTATATATTAAACTATATTATACTATATTATCTTATATTCTATTCTATTCTATTCTATTCTATTATATTATATTATATATCTTTTTGTTAGGCAATTGCGGTGCTCGTGCTTGAAATTGGGAACGTTGCGCGTCTAAGTAGCCCCAATGAACACAGATCTTGAGCTTGGCGTGCTCCGCTTGCCTTGGTATGTTCGGGTGGAGCAGAGCAACCTAAAGCTTGCAACTGAGATGCAGGGATCTGGATCGGCTCGCGCAGCATGTTGGACGAAAGTTTTGTCAGAAACATAACCAACGAATATTGGTAATCATCCAACCTCATCTAGCGTGTGTGCTTGACTACACGTCCCGCATTACCATATCCTGTGTAAGCATCTCCCCGGAATATGCAGAAAGGGCACACGTCTTGATTGAAAGGATTCCAGAAGGCCCATGAAAAGGATGTATTCAGACACATGAAGTGTGCCCGTAAGATGGTCCTAACGATCCAGCACTTAACCCGATGATTTCAAGGAAAGAATCACCCTCCGACCATGAGAAGCCAGGCTGGATGCCCTCAGAAACCGCATTTCACAAGACACCCTTATCTGGAAAACCGCTCAGAGTGAGGACCCTGCCAAGGCTTGCAGCTGGGACGGACGAAGACAACAATTCAATTTAGATGCTCTTCCCTCGCGTAAGATAATCCGGCGTGACGGTCCCAGAATCGCGATAGTCAGGAGTCATGAAGCCGGAATCGCGATTGTCAGGAGTGATGAAGCCGGAATTGCGATAGTCAGGAGTGATGAAGCCAGCGAGGTTATCGACATCAATATACGAAGAAGACGACGTGCATGACTTGGTGGATGCTGCGCGTCCGAAGGCCTGATCACTGTCCTGCATTTGCAGTTCATGCATTAAAGAGTTTGAGGATTAGAGCATGCTTGAAACCAAATCTCACTTACAACTGAGATGGTCTGCGTCTATCTTAAACGGCTGCCGTCCTCCATCTGAAAGTCCACAAGATCTGGAACTCTCTCAGGAAGAAAGAAAAGCGGCAATCATCGTATCCATCAAGGCCGTCGGATGGGAGACTTAATTTTAGTGTTCTGGCTTGTGAAATGATCTGCGGAATCCTTCATGGTGACATAGGGAACGATCACCAACCTTAGCACTTCGGGCTTCGGGCTTTAGGGCTCGGGCGGCAATGCCGTGCTCTCTGTTTTGTCACCTACGCCACTGTTTGTTGACGCTGGCTCCTGCGAGCTCCACTCTTCTGGTATGCTCGTGACAGTCGTCTCGGAGGCTGAAATTTGGAGCCAACACAGTCTTAGATTAGACTCCTGTTGGTGGCGCGCGTTCCTCGTATCTGTGTGGGTCACCGGCACAAACCACGCGGAGGCCACGGACCGAGAATGAGGCTGATACCTCAAGAGAAAATTCATGTAAGGCTCTCAGCAAGGCATAAGCGCATTCATTGGGGCCTTTCGTCGCTCTGTCTGTAGCAGGCTTACTTTCTTCATTCATACCGGTCGGGGTCGAAGGCCTGCTGAAGGGAACCCATCTACGAAAACTTGATGTCTCGTGTGGCACAGAAACAAACAATTCATCACGAAACCCAAAGCCAGAAATTGAACCCCATGCCTGAGCTCAAAAATTGAAAGCTTCATCCCGAAACCGCAATCCCTGCACGCCATCAACTCTACTCACAGACGGTAAACCTGTAAACCTTATGTTCGTAGGGCCCGCAGCAAGTGCTTGGATCGAGGGTTCAGTTCGGAGACCACAACTTGTGTCTCGTGTCCGCCTGTCTGGAGTGTTTCGGTTAGGATTCTTGATGTGGGTGGGGTTGGGGGTGCAGTGTTTACGGATCACATTTGGGCTTTTGAGTTGAAGATGGTGGGTTTAAGTTCTGGGGGTTACACTCGCCCAGATCAGCATAGAAACCTATGAAGAGCAAATCAGAGGACTACTGTAGTGGGTACTGCACGGCGTTTAAGGCAGGATAACCTTCCGCCCTCAATCCTACAACTCTTTACGAGAACGACCAAAAGCGACTAAAAGGTTTGAGACGTTAAGCGACATGATACTCCGAAGCCATGAACTTGGAAGGGACACCCCACCCCGAACAACAACCCGAAGCACTGAGAACTTAACCCCAAAACCCCAAACCCTCGGCTTGCCAACTCCGCACCCTCACAGTTTTGCGCCCTCGCGGAGCGATGACATTGCCGTCTCCGGCCGGGCGACTAGTGTTTTCTGTAAGGGCTTACAGGGGTTTAGGGTTACGCATTTAGGTCTTAGCAGTGCAGTGTTCAAGGGTGCCAAGCGCTGCTCCTTGGAAATGCAAGGTTTCACAACGTACCATATTGTCTCAAGATGTATGCATCTCGAACCTTTAACCAGACTGAATTTCCAAACTCCGAAACCTTCTTAATCCTTCTAAAGTTCTAAAGCCTCCTCCCTGCAGAAAAGAACTGACGGTCTGGGGCCTGGGGCTCTTTCAACGGTTTGGTAGTTCAGGCAGTTGAGGGGTGTAGGGTTTTGTGGGGTTGATGCTTTGAGTATTGAGGGCTGAGGGTTTAGGGTTTAGGATCAACGCAACCACGACCCCTTCACCCTCAGCCAGTGAAGCGTGACAGTGCGAACCTACCGCTCAGTTTTTGGTGTCCTTGAGGGTTGATGGGGTCTGGGCTTAGAGCTTGGGCCTCGGGGTTTAGGGTCTTAGGTTGCGGATGCACGGCGCGGCTCCAGCATCAAATAAAGCACGCAGAGAAACGTCCACGGAATGCAAAGTGAGACGAGATGCAGAGGTTCGACCCGCACTGCCCTAGCAGTTTAAGGTGTCATGACGAGGGTTTAGGGTTTAACATGTCGAGCCATGGCCGGGACCATCCTAAAGCCTAGAGGGCCTAGAGCCTGATAAACTTACGGCTCAGACCCTGCGTTCGAAGGCTTCGGGTTCAACAAAAATCTGAAAGTGTTGTGGAGTTTGGTGCTAGGACAATGAGGGAGTACAGACGGCTTGAGGTCTACCATGGGTTGCTGATTAAGCGAGTCTTTATCGCCATGGATAGTCATCGGATAGTGACTGTACTTGATTCCGCCTTACAACGACGCATGAACCAACCCTGTAAACTCATACCCCAGGATACCCCAGGAGAAACTACCATAGACACTTGCTTCAATTCGGATTCGGCAAAGGAATTTAAAGCTTGGGATGTACGGCTTCGGTGTCAGTTCAGCTCCGGACCCAGCCGTTTGAAAAGGAACCCCTTCAAGTCCCGAAGATTCTGGAACTTCAATCCTGGCAACCCTATACCACATTTGAACTTAATCACCGCAGCCCGAAACCTAAAGCACTAAGCCCTAAACCAGCTTCAGCTCGAACGTAAACATTAATCACCAAACCCGGGACCCCTAAACTTCAAGCTCTCGAAAATCCTACTTGCAATAAAAGCCGTATGTTGGCCCTTGAAACCTTCGGCGGTCTTCTTGAATAAGATCCTCTGAGCCTATAAGGTTAAAATGTGCATCGCCAAGTCACCTGCCTAGCTCAAATGCAGAAACCAAAACCCTAAACTGCAGGCTGTTCAATGGCCGATGTCCACGCACCGATTGGGAAAGTTCCAGACCGCATCTTCGCAGACGAAGGCTGCAACCAACTTCGCAAGGCCTTCGTCTTCAAGTCAGGTTTCTCTCTGATTGGTTTATGTGCCTAGATCCTACAATCCCACAAATCGAACCCTCGCTTGCAAGCTTCAGTGTAAGGTTTGGGGGCTTCGGCCTGTGCTCAAAGTGATGCCTAGAGCATACAAAGACTGGCTTGGCGGCTCGGAGCCCAAAAGCAAATTGCCCGTTCACCTCACGAAAGCGCCACTCTGCGAACCCTAGCTCCCCTACACACACAAAGCCCAAATTGAGACTCTGGGCAAAAGGAGGTTTGGTTGTTCAAGCGTGTTGTTGGAAATCGCATAGGCAGGGGGCCCTAGGCCCCACAAGGCCATGTAATAGAAGAGCTGCGAACTTGTAGCAGCGTTCGCCCAAAGCTACTATAGTTTCAGCCGAATACATCACATAACCTGTGAAGCCATCAACCCTAAACCCGAGTTGATGCTACTTTCAGCTTTCGCATGCTCAGCCATGACAGCCACGGCAGGACAAGAAGGATTACAATTGGAGCGTGTACAGATTGGTTTTAGCCTTCTGCGCATTCTAAATTGGGGCTTCGGCTGCTAAGAGATCCTTGAGGATGCAATGACAAGGACATGGAAGCAGGCACAGGTAAGCAAGAAATCATGGCCGCCAAGGAGCTGTGAACTTGAATTGCCGTGCAAATAAAGGCAATAAGCCACACCAGGGCGGTCAGCCTAAAACAGAAGCTTTAAGGCTCGGGCGGAGGGGCTGTAGGACTCAGACTTGAGGGGTCGTGGTGTCTAGTGCAAAAGCCGACAACCTCTGGGGATCAACCGTGCACCCTACACCCTGAAACTCAACTATCTAACATCTCTGGCTTCCTTGTTGCTGTCTAGATTGCTGCCCTTCAAGAGACATGTCACTTCATGCTTTCCAGGGATTCTACGTTTGAGGATGTACGGATCTAGGGTTGGTTGAAAAGTTTAATCAGACAGTGGCAGCACACTCTGTGATTGCTGCTGCCTGCCTCTGCGAAATTTGCATCAACAGAATAGAACATTGCCCTCTGGAGCCAATTCGGCATGTCCGCTTTGCCAATGGCGTTGAAGGTTTTCAAAGGTCTTGGACGTTTGGTTCGAGGTGTGCTCGAGTCTAGCATTTGGAATTTTTGGTCTTGGCAACCGGGGCTGGGAACCTCCGGAGCTAGGGTCTCCCTGCAACAATGAAATCCCGCTCGAAGGCCTGACCTCTTCAACCCCGGCAGAACCCAATCCGAATGCTCCTGTGAACTGGTGTGAAGGATAAGTAAGAATCACGAAGCCCTACGCCGCAATCGCCGAGGGCATGCGGCTTTGGACTTTTGTGATTTTTGTGCTTGTGGGATGAAAGGTTTCACGAAAGCCCGCAGCCCTAAATGTGCAAGTCTCTGTGGAACCGAAGAACTGCTTCCAAACCCTTGCCAAAGGCCCCAGCGTGGCGACTCAGCCCGAATAGAACGAAAATCCTGAAGTCCTGAACCCGAAGCAGCTCTGCATGAAAGCTTAGACGAACCTTGTACAAAACTTACCCGAACCCTGTCGAAACTGTTTTCGAGCCAGCGCAAAACCTCATTAATTGAAGCTCTCAACCCAAACCTTGGCTCTTCGCCTGAAGATCTCACTTGACTCCTCCTTTGACTCTCTGCTTTCCCGCACGGTCTCCCGCACTCCTTCCAATTCCTCCTAAGGGAAGGGTATAGGGCTCGCCAAACATCTTCGTATGCTTGTACTGTTCCCGCTTCGGCTAGCATCAGTTGAAACCGAGAGTTCTGTATTGGAAACCTCTGCAAATCCTTGAGTCTCTAACCTCCACCGTATCGTAGTGCCTTTTTGTATGGCACACTCACCACAACTGCTGTTTTTGTACACCGTACGAGTCCGGTAAAACCAAACCTTAATCAAACCTTCAAAGTCTAACCTCCTTAAACCGCACTTCGTACCGGCAGAGCATTGGGGCATTGGGATGGTTGGAAGAGCCAGAAGGTTTGAGTCTGAAGGCTTCGGGCGCTGCTTGCGAGGGTTTGGAGTTTAGGGCGTAAGGTGTAAGGCTAGGGGTTTAAGCCTTCGGGCTTCAGGTTTGGAATGTCTAAGGTTAGGGGTTTAGGGTGCAAGGCTCAGGACTTAGGTGGTAAGGGTTCGGGAAGGGAAGATCTCCACCATCTTCTTTTCAGGGTTCCGGTAGTGATAGAAGTGGCTCAATCATAAGAAATGCTCTTTCGTCATAGGCCTAATCTCAGGCAGGGGCAGCAGAACATGCCATGCGCATCCATGCGATTTAGAACGTGGAGTGCCAGTACCTTGATCAAGACAGTCTTACCGCCCTATACCCGAAACATCTAAACCCTAAAATTGAAAATGCGACGGTGCGAAGTCGAGGGAGTCGCCGATTGCTCTGTTCATACCGAAGACTTCTGCCTAAACGAGGGAACCTGAACTTACATACCGCACACACTTGTGCTCAGGATCTGCTCTTTCTGCTCTCTGAACCCTAAACTCTAAAAACTCTAAACATTGAGCCGAGCGGGTCCCTTTGACAAGCAACCACTCCTGCGCCGACCTGATCGCCAACAGACCCGCCACGATCACCTGCAGCGCCTGTGCTCGCATAGAGCCAGGATGTGCCCTTTTTGAAAGGACTTGCAAGTGCTTAAACGCTCCTTTGTAATTAGGAAGAGAAGCAATTCCGATTCCTCATTGCCCCCCAGCGAAAAAAGGCAAAGGACCAAGTGACTAAGTGTGTTCGGTACCCCTGCGATAGCTGTAGTAGCTTGGATAGTTGGCTGTGCAATTATTTCAGGCTCCGTCCTGGCTCCGTGTGCGGTTTGGGAAGGTTGTCAAGACTTGGCCCTGGGCAACAAACTACTCAAACCTCACGATCGATCCGTGTACCCCAGACTCAACCCTTTGCTGCTGCCTGCAAGGACGTCAGGTGGGCCAGGGTGATGCACAAGAAGCCCTCCTGGTGTGTCTGTAGTTCGAGACCATGCAGCAAAAGAATGTGGATTCAAAAGGCGGCCAAGAGAAGAAACATATGCACATACGAATAACAGTTCTACCAGTAGTAGAACAACGATGAGAATAAAGTTGCGGTGTTGGGGTTGACCCCTACAGGTCTGGGTTTGAGGACAGTGGGGCTTCAGCTCCAGGTCACAGGAACATTCGAAGTAGAGATCACCAGATCCATAGTGATCTCTAAACTGAGGATTCCTATGTCATTGGAGGAGACCAGACTCGGAACAACTCTTCAACAAAAGACCCCTTCTTCCTGGTGCCCTACTGCAAAACACCCTCTCAAGCTCTCGGGTTCCTGGTCGAGGGTTCCATCGCTGTCGAAGCGCCCAAGGGCAAAGATGGTCGTCTGCACCTGGTTGGGGTTTCGGGCTAAGCTCTCAGTGTCTTCACGGCTGAAGGCTCCGGTTCAGTGTTGCCTGAGGTAGGCACGGTTTCTTGGGAAGGCCTGCCTGTAGCGCAAGACCACACAATGACTGGACAAGCGTTAGGGCCACAGCTAAGTTTTAAGACTTGGGACACAGGACTGTCTGAGACCTAGAGGCCTCTAGACAAGGCGGCACATTGCCAACAACTTTACGCCTGGTTCGACCTCGGTTCGGGTCCAGCCTCTTTAAAGGGCCAGCGGTGCACTTGTCAGCTTGGGGGTAGAAGGCTGTAGGAGTGTATCAGCGTATGAGCTTTCATCATGATGCAGAACTTCCGGTCTGACTGTCCAGGAAAAACATCAGCCGTCAGCGTCCTTCAGACACCTGTGAGGCGACTTGCGGACCTTAAACTACAGGCATGCGACTTGAAGGCCGCCTTGAAGCCGAAACCCCTAAGCCCAAAGCTCTCCTGATCCCAAGGCCGATATCGGCCTCGATTTTTGTGCAGTTCGTGCACAGGTTTACAAGCACAATTCGCAGCAGGAGGTGTCGAAGCTCCATCTTCAAGATGTGTAAAAACCTAGGCTTTACACTTGTAGAGCTTGTGGTTCGTCGGGGTTTCGCTTGGCCTGTGCAGGGGGCTTGGAGCTAGCAGCTCAGTCGGCAAGATGTGGAGAAGCTTGTGCTTTCGAGCTTGGGTTCTGCAGTCTAGAGCGGTGGAAACTCAAACCTCCAAGAACTACTTTCCTGCGCGGCCATCTACAGCTTAGTTTGGCTTCAAGTTAAACCAAAACTTAGAACCAACAGCAACTGCTAACCGTGAGCCTCAAAACAGCTCCTCCTTCAAAAATCGCAGGTAGCTCAAACACAACAAAGCATTGAGACTCCAGCTCCAACCAAAGGCCGATTGGGCTGAACGACTTGTGCCAAAGCCCTAAAGATCGTCCAAGCACTCTTCGAAGCCCTAAGCGTCCTAGGAGCTGCGAAACTGCTGCATGCCATGCTGCCTGCGATATCAGAAACCGAATCCTTTTAGCTTCAAGGTAAGGACCTGATATTGTTACCAAATCACGGAACAAACCCTTGCCAAACCTTCTGAGTAAGTATAAAACTCCATAGACACTTCGAACGAATGCGGAAACTCCTGGAGCTGAGCTGGGCCAAAACCCTCGGGTTTCAGGTGTGCTTCCATAACATTCTGGATGCCAAATCCCGAACAGCCCAAGGTGGTCAGGTCTTTCCGTCAGAACAACATGAATGCACGTAACCTGCCAACACCGAACAACGACTAGGCGTGCACCAAGTTTACACATACTGTGTTATATTAGGTAAAACTGTTGTCTCAATATGTTGTGTTGCACTATCGCCTGGTCCATTACATTAGATGTTCTTGTGGTCTGGTGCTTATGCTACACGAGAATATGTTACACTACCATCTACTGTATGATGCTTGGCTATACTACGTGCCGCTAAACACGAACGTAATGCGCGGTCTTATATGATGTCATATTCTGCTACAGTGCTGTTCTATACTGTTGTCTACTGCTGGTCATCAAAATATACAAATCGACAATACTAGACTGTGGTACAATATCTAGAGTGTACTATGTTCTTGCGCATTATCCAATGCGATACTATACTACACTTTACTAGACTATACGATGCTTCGCTGTACCACACTACATGACACTATTCTGCAACACACAATGCTATGCAACACTGTATACTACTAAATATGACGATGCAACACTAAACAAAGCTATATAACACTATACAGTACTATAGAAGACGTCATAAAGACTATGTATCACTGCACAACGCCATGTCAGGCAAACCTGTTTAAGACGATCTTATACCGCGTGCTACTAGAAAACTAAACAATGCAATAACTATGTTACATATACACATACGCACACCTAACATATAAATACACAGTAATACACATATACGTACATACCCAAATACGTACAAATATACATACACATATACATACACATATACATGTACACGCAAATTAAGTTATGTTATGGTATGGTATGTTTGTGCTATCCAATGCTATTTTGTGCTATGTCTGTTCTCATGTCATGCTTTATTCTATTCCGTTTGCTTTCGGTGCATGGTCTTGTCTTATCTTATGTCGAGGTGTAACTTCATTTTTGCATGGATTAGACCGTGCTATGTTGTGTTCCGCTGTATTAAGTTATGTCGTGCAACACTGTGTTCTGCTATGAAATACTGCGGAGTGTCACTTTATAATCATACTTTGCTATGTTGCCACAGTGCTAAGACGTTGTGCTAAAACAAACTCCTACGAAAATATACTATAGCATACTATGCATTGTTACATCATGTTCAATATCCAATTGTTTTGTAGTTTTGTACTTTTGTATTTGTTGTAGTAGGTTATGCTTTGCTCTTGCACTGTACTGTATTACATACACTCCGTTAACTTATGTCCCATTGAGCTATGCTATACGACGCTGGATGAAGGCATCGTATAGCACATTACATCTCATTTTACTATATTGACATGCGGTACAACGCGGTGTTAAGCTGTCTAGTAAGCTATATAATAATAGTACGACTGGGTTGTATTCTGTTAGATGTGATTAAGCTTCACCAGACTAGATTAGTTTCTGTTACATGATATGGTACTCCATATTGTGTTTTGTCGTGCAATATAGTATGTCAGGGTGTCCTGTAAGTCAATGGCTTTTGCCAGACACTGGTTTCTGTTACACAAGGAGTTCCGATAAACAGGGGGGTTGGCTTGGCTTGGCTAGGCTTGATTTGGCGCTGGTTCTTGGGGTTCCCAGCATTCACTGTGAACCCACTGAAAACAATTAAAGGCGCTACAGTGATGTACATTTCTTATACTCGTACTAAATTCACTAGAACGCATTATCTTGCACTGTTTGTCATGATTACATATCAGCCCATGTCGTGTTGTACCTTCTCTCTCTGTTATATATATATATATAAGTGCATATATATATATACACACACATACATATACACACATATACACTGTCAGTCGCATATGTGTATGCACATATTCAGAGGCAGCGAGAAAACCAAATAATGATAACAACAAGAAAGCAGCCGAGCAAAACCATCATTGACATAATGCTTAGCTCACGGTCAAAGGCATCTCTCCCTCAGTCACCCCAAAAGAGCCTCAGGGCCTAGACCCACAGCGACGATTCCTAACCAACAATCCGAGCTTATGGTTCAGGACCTTTTAATGAAGGGGTGAGGCCTCTAGCCCCTTCCGGAGCAAACCAAAATGTCCGTCAAACAAGCGGCCGAAAGTCATTCGGCGGCTGAGCTTGAAGCTCCTGATGCGCGCGCTTGACGCTCAGCCTGGAAGTTCAGGGTTTTGGGGAACAGTCGTGTATTGAAATCCGAACAAACTCCAACCCTACCTGCCACACAAGGGTCGGAGGTCTAGGGCCCAGACTCTTGCTTGGAACCCGGACTGCCGGCTGCCCTGTATTGCGCTCCTCATATACAACAGCTAGTTAATGCGGAAACACCCGCACTACATGACTGTGCAGCTTTTAACGTGTTTGCACCGCTGTTTTCACATTAAAAGTGCTTTTGCATGTTTGAAGATTTACGGGCTCCGCAACCTAAACGCCAGCCGCTGGCCCCGAAAACCCTCGAACTCTGAAGCCTGACGCTGATCCTTGCAGCATGAATGCCATGAACTCCAACGGCAAAAACCCAATCGACAGACCCCGAATCCCCGAACCTGAAGACTCAGGACCTTTTGGCAGGACCACTCCATTCGGCGTTTGAGTCGTGAGCTTCGGGCGCCAGGCCCCTGCATGGTTTACGGTTCCACGCACAGCTTCCGTAGCATCATCCAAGAAACCTGAGATGTCCAGCAGAAACCATGGCCATTCTGTTCGAGCTCGCCAAGTCTTTCCTGTGGCTGTGGGTTCAAGGAACCATATCGTACCGCAAGCTTTTGCCCAAAGGCCTAAAGCCTAAACCCAACACCCAGAATCAGAGTGTGGTTTCGGGCTTGTGCTGTCGGGTTTCGGGTCCCGGGTTACACTCCCATGCATAAAGGGTTAGGGATGTGGGGTTCAACTTGGCTTTGAGCGTTTCTTAGCTGGTATCTGAATATGGCTTTGGGCAGCTACGTATTCTGCTGGGCCGCGTCAGGCGTTGGGTAAAGGTTTACCTCAGCCTTCAACCCGTAAAGTGACGCGACACTGACACCTTGATCCGCAAAATCGTAAAGATCCAGACCTCCGCCCAACACCCTACTATAAGCCTTAGACCGGTCAAATGCAAACGTAACGAGCTACACCCGGAAAACCTAAAACTTAAGTTCTGTTACCCTAAACCCTGTCACTCAAACCTTCTGCTGCAACCCCTACAGCCTGCAAGCTAAACTCTAAATTGAAGCGCTGTTCAGCTATTGCCCTACACCTTACAGGCAAACCTTCAAAACCTGCCGCACTCGTCAATCTTAAAACCTATACTCTGGCGTGGGCCGCTGGACCGTCACCGGGTGTGGGGTAAAGCAAACTTTACCACTGCATACCACTGCATTACATGCAACCGCTGCGCCCTGCAGTTGCCAAACCCAAACCCCAGCCTGCACCCCAAAACCTGCAACCTGGCAACCTTGAATACCTTCGATACTTGTACCGGCACCAAAATCAAACCGCTTCACCTACAAGCCAAACCCTGCTTTAAACCCGCTGCACCCCACAAGCGCCACACCCTGCACCTTGCAACCCCCTGAAACCTTAAGGCCTGCATCCAGGCAGACCTCTACACCCGCAAGCAACCCTAAATCAGGCTACACCCCTCCGCCCTACATCCCAAACCATCAAGAGATACCGAAAACCTCAATCCTCAACTTACACAGATACAAGCCGAACCTTACGACCTAGACCACAACCTACACCTGAAACAAACAGCTACACCTACAAATTTAACCTAAACTATGCCGCTACATCCTAAACCCGAAGTGCGAAACCAAACCACCACATGTACTACCGAAGATCCATCATTGAAACGCTGCACCATGACTGACCCTGAATTTTCATCGAACCACCTACAAGCTAAACCGCACTTAGCCTAAACCCCACCACACCTTCAACCTGCAAGTTAAGCCTTTATTGAAGAGCTACACTCCTAAACGCTAGACTCTACACCCAAACTTGGGACAACCGTTTAACCTAGCAGCCCAAAACTAAAACACAGTGCTTCACCTACAACCTAAACCCTAGATACTGCTGCTAATTTACACAACCCTACACCCCCAAACCTGCACCCCAGAACCTTGCAACATCTTTCAACCCCACAAACGCACTAAACCCGAAATCAAACCGCTACACCCAAAAACCTACAACATCTAACCTATACCCTAGATGATGTTGCTAAACCGCTACAAATCCACTACCCAAACCAAGCTGCGACACCTACAAAGACGGCGGTGGCTTTTGTGTGTCGGAGGTTGTCTTCACTAAGCGTGCCATGGTGTAGCAGGCCCTGCTTTAGGTCTCCCTGGCATTTGGCCTACTACTTGCGGTTTGCGGCACATCACTGCTGAACTACAAGCTGCAGCGGCGGGAAATGGCAATTTGCAGGGCAAGCAAAAGGGATTTGCAAGCGGTTGAGAAATTATGGGTGCTTGCCGCGCGGGGGCCAAATCCAGCCAGCCAGACCTAGGAAAGGATAAGGGCCCGCTTCGGAGCAGCACCAGGACCACGACCAGGGAATCAGAAGGCCGCGGCAACAGGATTCGGGGACCAGCAGACCGAAGGGTTAGCTGTTAGCATCCGGCCACCTCAAAAATAACGCACCCTTACGAAGAAAGATAGGTGCCACATGGGGTTTTTTCGGACTGGAAATGTTGAAAGTTTGAACACATCGAATGGAATGCGAGATTGGAATTGCACGCTTGAAACTTTGGAAGTTTGCAGAATGAAAACCTTGGATTTCGAAAGTTTAAGCTTTTGGAGATGGAAAACATTCGGAGCTGGAACTTTTGAACAGGAATGCAACTTGGAAGATTGAAGCCGCGGCAACTTGCGCTGCACGACGTATGAAAGGTGGAGAACGTGCATGGGCCCACGTGGTGCACACCAGGCTCGAGTTTGAAACTTCGCAGAGGTTGGAGTTTGAAAGTTTGAGTAGCCCGAGAATGGAAGCTTGAAAGCTTGGAGGATTGAAAGTCGGGAAGATTGAAAGCTTCAAAGGTTGACAGCTTTAACGTCTGAATCTCTCAAATATCGGAATCGAAAGACTGATCGTTTCAAAAACACGAAAGCCCCAAACTGTGTCGCTACCTGTGGCGGAAGCACGATTGACAACCCAAAACACGAACGGCAATGTAGCAAGAGCATGACTTTTGGAGGCGGCGGGACTGCGGAAAGAATTGCGATTCTAGGGGAGCTGCGGAGCCGCTGTGGGCACCTGATGGGCGCGCTTCGTGCCTCGGTAACCAAGTCCCTTGACACCGATCTCAACCGTAAGAACCCCGATGCTTGAACTCTGCAAACGAAACCATGAACCGACAACAACTACGAATAACACCCTCAAGATGAACCGCTACACCCTTGCACTTACTCTTCCTAAATCGGAAACATCTAGATCGGCCTTTGTTTGATCTCGGATTTGATTGAAAGTGCAGGCGTTTAAGGGGTTGGCTCCAGCGAATACGTTTTATTGGTTCTTGTTGTTCACGGTTGCAGGGCTCCGGGAGTACAGTGTCGCTCTCAACAGGCCGTGGATCAATGCATCCGCGTGCCATATTCTGACGTAGCCAAAGCCAGCCACGTTCAGATAGCCTTCTTTCTCGCTCCTGGGGTCTGGCTTTTGTGACGCTACCCAGGGCATCCTTCAACCCTCCCCGCGACACCCAAGTTTCACGGGTTGTAAATGAGAGCTTGAGGCTGCCGTGACAATCAGGCTATATACCTTGGCATATGAACTTGCGGAAGCCTGGAGTTCAGTATCGTTTTTCGGAATCAAACTGCGAAGTTCGGGCCACTGTACGGAGCCCGAATTGCAATATTGGGTCAAGACAGGCGGTCGTGATGGCTGGATCACGCAAAAACTCGAAGAATTCTTATTTGCAGGAACTTTCTCATAATCATATCCCCAGGAGCTGGCATGCGAAGCTGACGGGTTGCACAGGCATCGCATGGAGGGCAAACAGCACCAGCTGCCTTAGATCAGGCAGCTCGCACGAATAAGGCGTTCAATATGCATGGGTTCATCACTCAAAGCTTAGGTGTTTCTATCGCGAGCTCGTATCGGATACGACTCAAGATCTAGAGCCCGATCAAGGATTGTGGAGCTAGAAACCTCTTGAGCCTAAACCCTGCGCCCCTCGATGACGGACAAGAGCACTTCCAGAAAGCATGGCAGCACATCCGACAACCTCCGAAGCTTACTACTAGCCAGCATCGTAGCAGCTAGGTCTGGAGTTTAGGGTCTAGGGTGCTTAAACTCAGCGACCCATAAACCTGCAACCTCGACCCTAGACCCTAAACCCAGGTGCAATACGAAGACCCCCCAGCTGACGATGACCAGCGTTTCCTTCAGGGCTCCCACAAGCTGGAATGTTTATGGAGCATTGGAAATCTTTTTGGGTCTTAGGGTTGAGGCAAGGGCTGCGGTCGTGGGCGGTGAAAGGTGGAAGATGTACAGAACACGTCACCCAACACACGGTGGAAACGGCTGGCCACGTGATTGTTGTAGCCTGTCAGCTGCTCCAACTGTGCTCTTGGCAAAATCAACACTTTGCCATGAAACGAACACTTTCCAACACCGGGTTCATTGTGCCGAACCTCGTGACGCTTACAATTCGGAACATCCCCAGTACGGCCTATCAGATGGGCGAACCGTTCGGAGAGGGTACGATGCAGATTCGGGCTACGGCGCGGAGTACAGATTGCGTCGACGACATAAAGATCAGTATTGTTTGTCAAGTTTGGAACCTACAGTGACAAACTTGCGAAGGCGAGATTTCAAGTTGCTTCAGAATAATCGTCATGTTCCACTTCAGACACCTGTTCGTTAGCTGAGCTCTTGCCTTCTCTAGATTTCTCGTATCGCACCAGCTGACACCTTTCACGCTGACTTGCATCTTTGCGCCTCGGGTACAAAGACATGTCTTTCGCCCCACTTTGTGGGGGTTGTTTTTGGTACACCCTGACAGCTAAACTAAGGATTCTCTGCGGAGTTGTCGTCATGCACATCAAGCCTACAGATTTTCAGCACGGGGGCATCCTCCCAGTGCAACGGGATGCCCAACGAAGAGGTTGCACTTGGGACTGATCTAAAACGCAGGTTTGACGTAGCTGCTTGCCTGCTTGTGACATCGTATGGCTATCCTCGCTGTACGTTGTATCTAGCTGCAGAGATTCGACATGGCAGGGGGCCAAGCCAGAAACCCCATTTCGATTGCAAAGGGAGAGGGGCTAAGCCAGAAACCCCAATCCGAACATTACATGTTCACTTACGTTGATGGAGTAAGCTGTACCCAGGAATCGGCGAACCTATGGCAGATAGGAGCAATCAGCATCACGACCAGTGCAGCCTTACTTAATGTTGTTGTTGTTGGTGGTGGTGGTGGTGGTGGCGGTGGCGGCGGCGGAGGCGGCAGTGGCGTCAAAATATAGACAATGACAACAATCATCATCTTGATCTTAAGCGCGACAAGCAAAGACCATGGCAACAGCAGCAGCGGCAGCAACAACAACAACAACAACATAAAAATAAGACTGATAATAGTCATGGTATCAGCAATGTAGCAATCGCATACGGGCGAGCCATGCGGTCCAGGCTAGAGCCCCAGGCCATCCAGGAGAGAATCGAGTTGCCCCAGACTTGGTGCCATGCATCCCTGGTTTTGCCAAAACCTGGCTAAGGTTCTCAAGGTTGAGGGTGGTGGCTGGGGCCTGGGGCTGTACAGGAGCGCTTCGTGGCTTTCAGAGTGTGTCACCTTGCTCGCGGGGGGAAAATCGTCCGGCTTTGAGCTATGCAGGATCTGGCCTTACGGATTTTCCTGGGCTCAGGGTCTAAGACTTTGGCTTTTGGATTGAGTCTGTAAGATCTCGAACTTGGGATTCAAGGTTAACTTCGTCTGTACAGTCTTGGTATTTCAGATTTGAGGCTTTCGCTTCAAGTTTTGGGGTTTTGGAGTTGGGAGGGGCCCTTGCAGTCTCTGAGCCTGAAGCATGTTGCCTGAAGCATGTTGCTGGCTTCGGATCATTCGCAGTTTACGGTCCTCCGGATGCCATCTGATCTTGATTGGAGGTTCCACGAGTCTCTCGGCCGGTAGCTTATATACTCAAGGGCGCAGGCACAAACCCACATTCGCCTGGGCAGTGGAATCTGTGCAGCGTCGTTGCCAGAAAAAGTCCCTGCGTCATAACATCCATGTGGGTGAGTACCTCAACACTGCCGGCTGTCCAGTCTTGGCCCAAATTGCTCGTTCAGTGTGAAGGTTATGCAGCGGCACCGCGAAGTTCCATAGTCACTGTGATTGAAGCTACCAGTACAAGTTGGTTTGCTTGTTTGCAGTGCACTGTGGGATGTTGCACCTGTGTCTTCACTGGTAGTCCGACTCCTAGTCACCATTCCCGTATATCCGACACTCCTTCCTGCAAATACAATGAACAGCAAAACGAACCTGGCCTAAAGCCCCAAAGACTTTAGGTGTTTGGGATGTTGTACACCCGATTTGTATTGCGAATCTGAAGGAGCAAGATGTCAAGCCCTGAATCGTCCACTGAACCGTAGAATCTAACCCACACGCTCAAGACCTTAAACCTCAAACGCAAAACACCCAAACTGGCAAATGCCTGACGCTTCATCCTCAAACTCCGACCTGAAAATCTGACAACTGTAAACGCACAAAATCTGACCTTGAAAAAGCTCTATTGTAAATTGATAACACTACCCTATGAATCCGGATGACCATACGCAAAAACCGCTAGCCCTAGAAAGAAGAAACAGTAAAACCCTGAAGCGCGCTCTCCGAACCCTGAACCCTAAACTCACAGTTACAAGCATGCAGTGCTGGAAACGTGCAGACTTTAAGGGCCATAAACACGACAGCCTCGGAGCGCCAGAGCAAACAATTGTACGCCGCAAATCTCACAGCCCAGGCCCAAAAATCTTCTCGTATCCCCGATGGCTTTACCCCACAGCCACTAAAGGCCCCAAACCCAGCCAGCCTCACACTTAGACCCTAAACCATAAGCCTAAACTGCTAATAAACTCGAACAAGCCTGAGCAAGTCCTATGATCCAACATTGAAAAGCGTTTCACACGACTGGTACTGTTGTAGAATACTGCACCACACCCAAAGTATTGATGAGTGCAAGGGCCTTGCTGCAAGGCTGCAAGACCAAACACAAAGGCTTAGACAAAGCCGAGCAATCCCAGACAAAGATCACGCACAATGTGCTTTTAGAACTGCAGCTATTCTGCAGGCAGAGACCCAAAGCGAAGCGATCTTGCCCAGGAGCCCGAAGAGGGTTGCCACTCCAGTCCAGTTTTAAAAGTCAGCTGCTACCAAACCACAAAAAGAAATGTGGCTGTCACGAGATGATAACCTTGTGATGCCCATTTTCGGCAACAGTGGGCCAAAAGCACGTTTCCACTCCTGACCTGATTTTTTTCCGTTTGCCGTTTCCCGTCCGTTCGCACACCGCTTAGTCTTCCGTTTGGGCTTCCACTCCCGCGGGCGCTTCCGTTTCGGCTTCCGCTGTGGCTTCGGCTCTATAGGTCCGAATATCATGCTCAAAGGGCAAACCTTACACTCCAAGCTTTGAAATTCAACGAAAGCAACTGTAGCCAGCTACAGGTAGCACAAACCAAATTGCGCGGGTTCCGAAACCGACGCCTGAACGCGACAGGGCATCCAAAACAGACTCAGAAACCGGAACCTGGAATCCGAAGCGGAACCCGCAACGGAAAGCCCATAACCCAAACCGGAAAGTGGAAGCGTAAACCCGGTACCCTCCAGACATGAAACAGAAAGCCCGGCAGCACCAGAACCCAAAACGGAAGCAGTTAATCTGGGAACCTGGGCTCAAACGGAACAATGATTGCAAACATACTGTGTTTTCACCGTTTTCTCAGGTTCCGGTTTCTGAATTCGTGTCGGATGTGTGGGTGTGCTTGCAAACCACAAAATGCACCGCAGAGTCAGCATGGTTTACAAACCTGCAAAGATGCGGAAGACACTACAAGGGAAAACGGAAAGCTGAACGGAAGCGACATCGACGCCGGAACCCCGAACGGAGGCCCGAACGGAGGCCCCAACGGAACTGAAATAACAGGTGGAAAGCGGAACGGAAGCGAACACGGAAGGCTGCGGACAAGCAGAAAGCAAAACGGAAACAGAAATGGAAGATTAAATATGCCTTGTTGTCCAAGTGAGCATCATGATGATACCCTTGCAGACCCGACCGAGGACCCTCGAGCTGCCCGCAACGACCCTTGTTTCGGGCAAAGCCGTCGGTGGCCAGTTTCCGGAAAACGATTCGGGACCCTCCTTGCCATGGATCCCAAAGAGCAGTTCAACCGTCCCACACTCCATATGCGCAACTAGTCTTCTAGTCGAACTCCGCATACGAGAGTTGCCCTAAACCCTAGTGTGTGTAACTTACATGTGAAACAAAAGCATAAACAAAGCTATGCTTCATATTGAATATGGATACTGACAGTACTGACGACTAATATCCATGTGTTCTGAAGCTCAGTCGCACTCACGAAGAGGGTGTACACAAGCCACAGCGAGAACGGAGGCGTTTCCCACAGAGGCATCTCGAGGTTCTGGCAGGGAGCAATTGCAAAAAAGCTTCAAGATGCAGGGTCTGCGGTTTGTATTTACCCAAGTGTGAATCTGCTCAAACAGCAATTAGGCGTTCAAGATGGAGGGTCAAATTCTACGCAACATCGAATCATTGAAGCTACTGTATCTTGCACCCTGAAGCCCAAATTCTGAACACCTGGACTTCGATGATACTGCTACTGAACTACTATGCTCCTGCTACTGCTACTGCTACTGCGACTGCTACTGCGACTGCTACTGCTACTGCTACTGCTACTGCTACTGCTACTGCTACTCCTACTGCTGCTACTACTGCTGCTACTACTACTACTACTACTACTACTACGACGACTACTACTACCACTACCACTACCACCACTACCAGTACTACCACTACTACTACTACTACTACTACTACTACTACTACTGCCACTTAGTAGTGTTGTGACGACGACGACGACGACTGCCGCATGGCTTGGTGTCCAGGCCGTTTAAGGTTTGCAAGGCAGGTCAAGCTACGAAAAGACTTTTGAGGACGCCTATTCTTCTACACCCTGTTCTACGCACACTGGGGGCTTCCGCCTAAGGCTTCGAACCGAAACTGCACAACTCCAGACTTGAAGCTTCGTGCCCTAACCGTCAGAACCTTAAACGGTGAAACCTACGCTTCCTCATACCCAAATCCCTCGACCATCATCTTGAACCAAATAAACAAACCCATGAAATACCGACAGTTTTACAAAAAACATGGCAAAACCTTGTAAACCCTTCCGTGCCCTGCATGGCCCTGCATTCACATGAGCTAGAAGGTTTAGAGTTTAGAGTTTGAGGCATCATGTTTCAGAAGAGATTCAGGAATTAGGCCAAGGCCATGATTATGGTAGAGTGCCGCCACTTCAAAGATCTTCTTACAGGGATTAGAGCTCAATGAGGGTTCCAAACAGCTTGCGCATGATTGTGGTTATGTTGCTTTTTGCAAAGGTTCGTCGGTATCTTTAAATTGCTGAAGACTGCTTGAGTGTTGACAAGTAGAACCTGGCTTTTGGAGCGGGAGGTCTTGCGCCACCAGGATAGGAATAAAGAAGCAGGCCTGTATCCACTGTAGCATTGGCACCACTGTATAGGTGAAGCAGCGCCATTCGATTGTCAGCATTGTGAGGACGAAGGGCAGGAACCCCAGCCAGAGCCAGCCTGCAGGCCGGGCATCTAGTTCAGCCAATACGACATTGAAGCAATGACACAAGGAAAACACGAAAAGGTAGTGTGAGGAGTGAGGATGCCTCGAAACTGACATGACGTTGCACACGCATCAGTGCAACAGTGCCAGACGGCATCTTCTCCCAACCTTGCTTTCTATGGCCCTGATTCCGATAGAATGCCCTAAAGCAAGCGTTGCACCGATTCAAGGCTTCGGGACAAGGAAGGGTTGTTGGAAATCAAGGACCCAATGTATCAAGGCTGTTGGTTGATAGCCCGTTTCGATTCACGGATGATCGGCAGAGTCACTCCGCCGCAAACTGGCTGTTGTTCCACAGATTGGAAACTCCCGGGCAATAAAGCCTAAACTGGGAGGCCTCCGGCTACGCATGCAAGCCGCCCCTCGCCGAAGCATACAAAAACAACGCCAGTCCTCGAACCCGCAAGCCCAGACCGAAACAAGTTGGTGCAAGAGTCACAAAGCGGCCAAATCCCTTCTTGCCGATGCCTCGAACGCTACACCGTAAGACCCCCAAACCACTGACCCGATGGTGGGCTGAACACTAAACGGCCTGGGTAAACGGACTTCCCATCTGTCTCACAATGCCTGACGGGCGGGCTCTGGGTCTAGCAGCTTAGGCTTCGCACTTCAGGCTCACTGCACTAGGACCTATAGGAACGTTGAACTCAAAGAGAGGCCCTCTTCAGCCCGAACTCCTGAACCCAAATTCCTCCTTAAATCCGGAACTCCCGGCCTAAATCCCAATTCTCCAAATCTTTAAGCTTCAGTCCTTACCCTTGAACCTGAAGCCCCACGCTGCAGAGTCAAGTGTTGGGCTTCACAGCAGAACTCTAGAGCCTAAACTGCTGCCTGGGGTCTGATCAGGGCCCCTTTTTCGAGTTCGGAGACTCGGGACGGTTTGCACTAAACGGCAAAGAAGTGTAGAATTTCCCGGAAACTGTCACGACTACATCAGCGCCCAGTCACGTGAAGGGTCTGGCTACCCATGGAAGGGTGACGGCGAAGACGATGTGTACCATAGTGGCGGGCCATAACCTCAGTTTTATCATTGCTGCCATTGCCATGCGAGCTTGCATATGAGAAACCTCAGGTCGTTTCGTCATTATCACTGAATCACTGTGGCTAATCTTAACGTTACTGAACCCCCGACTATCTTGTTCATTGTGCTCAAGCCTGGGCGCACATTTACTAGGAAAAGAGTTCAGACTTCAAACCGAAGAACCCTGACGCCAACAACCCACCAAGAAAGAGCTAACGACCAAGAATCCTAAATCCCTGAAGCCATGGGCGCTTGAACTGAAATCAAAGCCTCATCAAAGCTTGAGGGTAGGGATCTTGCAAGGCTCTGCGCTGTGGTCCTAAACCTTTGTACTTCGAGCTGCTCGGAGCGGATGCCCAGGGCCCAGGCCCTCGAAGGCTCTCGAGACTTCACGCAGTTCAAGCAGTTCACAAGTTCGCAATTCTGAACATGGAACGGCCCCCTCTCGAACTCCAAAACCTCTGCGCCCTGCGACAGCCGCACAGCCGGCCCAGCCGTGTCGAACATCGTCAGCTTTCGGCCCACGCGCGAATCGTTCTTCTCCCGAACGATCTGCTGCACTTCCGCAGGCACCCCGAACCTGAGAGACGTTTGTGCGTGTAAGGGTTTGAAAACTTCAAGTACCTTTCTGCTTAATCGCGCGGTAAATCCAGCAGGTTCGGGAGCTAGCTCCGAAGTTCTGGAAAGCCATAAACCCTTACCGGCCATCATAGGCTTCGCGATTCGGAGCTGTAGGGTTTAAGCTTGGGGCTTGCAACCCTGAGATGGAAGTCAGTGGAAGTCAAGCTCCTTTAACTAAGATGGTTTCGGGTTGTGGGGGTAGGCCTCAGGAATCGCAAACCCTAGCTCCAGTTCTTCGTGATTTTGCAAATCCTTGGTGGCAGCTACACTGCCTGGAGCCATGTCGTTGAGATTCTTGGGTGTTGTAGAATTTGAGGTTCAAGGTTTAAGCGTGGCGTAGAACGTGGGAGTTTCTTTCATCAAAGTCTATTACTTAAGTTTCTGTTGAACGATTGGCATTGGGGCTTCGGGCCTATCTGGTGCAAACCCAGCACATATATGAGTTTTTAGTACATGCATGGACGATGTGAAACTTCAGTGCTGCCCTTGAATCCAACTTATACCGTCATTACATGCTATCCCCAACTAGCCTCGAAACCCCTTCGTCCAACCACATGAAATCGGGCTCTTGGTTTGTGCTTTGTTTGTCCTGGGTCCCCCAAAAACTTGCAATGCACCCCCAAAACCCAAACCTTTTATCCAGGCACGCGAAGTGGTTTAGCCACTTCGGCACAGTGCTCGAGGGATCGTCCTTGGCCTCTGCAGGGCCATCTCCTAAACTCATGGCTTATTGAAACGATTCGGCTGGCATTGCAATTTGAAGACTTGTGTGGAAGTGGGCAAGATATGCTGTTCTAACCTAATTCGGCCTGGGAGGATGTTGCGGTGAGACCCCACAACCTGCTTAAACCCCCAAAACCCGAACTCGGCTCTAGACCCTGAACTCAAGGGCCAAAGCAACGTCAGGCAGTCTTGGAAGGGTCTCTTCGAAGGCAAGCTGAGGCCTCCTCCCCACTTCCGTCGCTCTCGGATTGCAGTAATGCACAGGTCCTCAGACACTCGTGACAAGCCACGCAGGTATTGATTGGAGGGCTCTTGCTGAGGCGTTCGGGTGCAAGGTCCGGGGCTTGACGCTTAAGGCTTGAAGCTTCGGGTTCCGGGTCAAATCCGTGGGCTTGAAAAGCCTTGGGCTGTGTTGGGGGCGCGAGGCCGAGGGCTTGAGGATTAGAAACAAGAAGAACAATGACATTGAAAGTCCGCTGCCAGCCCAGACCCGTAAGATGAATACCCACTCCCTCGATGAATTTGTGACAGCACTACAAATCTCTGGTTCTGGAGTCTGGCTTACAGACTGTAGATCTTTGAAGGTGTGGCGGTTTGGAGGCTTTGAGCTGTTAGGACTGCTTTCAACACCCCAAAAGAAAACAGCAGGCTCCATCTTCCGAAACCCCATTTGCCCCAAATCCCGAGTCGGTGCAGGATTTCAATCGGTGGCTAGGGTTGAAGTGGCAAGGATCAGGGGATTGGCGCGCGGTGTTTGTGGACATGCGTGTTTCCTGAAGCTTCTAAGCGAGTTATTGCTTGCAGAATATACCAGGGGTGCCTGAGACCTAAAGCCTAAAGTCAACACCCAACCGCTGGCGAATGCCCACAGTGCCCTCAAACCACTGCCAAAGAACACACGAAATCCTTGAGTTTTTAACCCATAATCCTAAGCATCCCCAAGCCCCAAAAACAAGCTGATCCGCTCGAGACAGACGGACAGCGAGTCAGCTTGATCAGCCTCACTTCCACTGTCGTCGTCCTGACAGTGCAGGAAGGGGTTGGAGACCGTACCAACTTTGTGCGGCTTTGACCTCACTCCCCAAACCCTGAACCCTCCACAGCCAATATGTCTTGGAGTTTGTGCAAGACTGCAGGAGCAGCTTCGCGAAACAAGTTTCGGGCGAACACTTCTGGACGAATGCCGGGTTTATTGCCTTTCCTGGCGCAAGCTTTCAACGCCTCGAAACATCAAGCAGTTCATGGTGCCACAAGCTTTCCATTTGCGTTGGGAGAATGGCTTTTTGGACAGCATCCGAGAGCGACTGCTGCCTCCAACCCAAGCTAGAGCTCGTTATGTTTCTTTACGTTTACGACTTCTTCTCTCTCGTACCAGATTGCTTGAACGGGCACATTGGGTAAATATTTATACTAGCAACAGCAAAGCCTCACATGTTTGTACCCCATTGTGGCAGTCTGCGCGCATTACTTGTCACTGTTTCAAGACCATTTTTGACTTTGGTCTCAAGCTGAGAGGGTTCACTCGCCGTTGCGCGAATGCCGCTGAACTGTCTGCTCAGTTAGATATGCCATGGCTTCAATGGCTGAACGAGCTGATTACCACTTTTCGAAGTCACTGTCAAGTTCGACTGACCAAAACAGTAATGATTCCATTGAAAAGCACAAGATCTGAAGGTTGACGCTGACTCATGTACGCTCCTAACCCTGAACCCTGAAACCCCAAAGCGAAACCCCAACAGCCACAGACCCACCCTAAAGCCAATGCAAATAGTATAACAGAAGATTGCGGGTCTTGGCATGAGAAGCTTTCACTCGGTTTGCAGGTTCAAGCTTTCACAGGGGCGTACAAGAATTAGGCTTCAGGTTTCGGGGTGTGGGAGCGGGAAAGTTGGGTCATTTGGGCTTTGTGCGTTTGACGAGCATAAGGATTGGCATACTTTAGTCTTCAAAGGTGTTCAGGCCCATTATCGGGTCATTAGGGTTGAGGCTGAAGGACATGCAAGGGCCTCTTGCTTTTTTTTGTTTGACAGAAAACACAGCAAAGCTGATACCGGAAGCTAAGCTTAACGATGAGCTTTACAGCTCCTGGCACATCGGACCCAGTTCGCCTCCCTCGCATGCATTGTCAATCGTTGCATTGTCAATCGTATCCCACAACGACATCGCCAGCCCTTCCCTACACCGTAAAAACAGAAATCGTGTGTCCAATGCACGCCGAGGGAAACTAAGTCCGCGGAGGATTTCGGGCAAGGCTGCCCCGCCGTTAGAAAAGCTTGGCTTCGCGCCTGGCACTCCTCTGCGGCCAGCCGGGAGACCTACGTAATTATGCGGACTGCCAGTGTGGTCTTTCAGGACTTAAGGCTTCTCAGCTCAAGATGTTAAGGTTTCTGGGCGTCGCACTCCAGATTTTGCTACGATTCTTTGGGTTAGTCAGGTTGGGGATTTGGCGTTGCTGAAATCCGAGGTCAAAAATCTAAACTCTGAGACTGCAGCATTTCTGGGCTCGCAATCCGGCGCTCGTATGCAAAAGGACTGAAAGTTGAAGGACTTGACACGCAGACGGTCGGGCTTGACCTTTGAGGCTGAACATTCAGAGTTGGTGCTTCTAAGCAGCGGTGTACTGTAAGCTATGGTACTTCAGTTTGGGTCATGAGCAAATACAGCTCATGCTACCTTACCACATACACTACTCACTACTCATAATTGCACAGGAAACTTCGAACAAGCCCATAACTGGGGACCTTACCTGAGAGTGCGAAAGTAGGAAAAAATACGTATTTCGTCCTGGCACTAAAGCTTATAAATGGGAGTTGGAGCATCGACTGAAAATGAGTGATACTTGGACACCTACAAGTGATATACACTAGGCTACAAAGCTATCCATACTCTTTTTACAAAGCACCTTTGTGCTCCAAGGTGCTTTGCTGGCAGGAACAAGCAAAACGATTGAAGACTTTGGGAAGTTCCAGGAGGAGCTCCAAAACACGAACCCGGCAAAGCTCAGCTGTAAACACGAGCCGCAAACATTCAAAACGCTAATCTCTCATCATATCACCCTAAACCCTATAATCTGGAGTCTGAGTGGCCAGCATCATCCGCGCAAACTGCCGCAACGATCAGCAGGGTTTATACTAACAACCGTACTTATGATGACATAACCGGGTTGACAACTTCTTATTAGCATTCTGCTGCCTCCCCGACGACCCAAACCCAAGCCCTGGACCTAAGAGCCGCCGATGTATTCAGCCCACCTGCCGTGAGCTGCAAAAGCGGGCCATGGAAGCCCGGCAGCTCAACGCTTCAAGGCTTAGGACTGGGGACCTTTTTGATTTAGGGGTTAGGAGTTAGAGCTTTCGGGCTTTAGGGCAAAGGCTCAGAGCTTGGGGTGCGCGGCCGGGTTGCAGCCAGGCGATTCAGGCTACGAGGTTTGAGATTGGGGGCGTTGTAGGGTTCTTGCTTGCACGTTGAAGCTTGAAGGATTTGCATCAGGGTGCGCTCTTGGGTTTGGATTGAGGTTGCAGGTGTGGGCTTCGCAGCTAGCAATCTCAGAGTTTCCGACTACGCTGGGATCGTAAAGTTAACATTTCGTGAAGGCAGCATCCCCGAAGCTGGAACATGATTACCCGATGCCCTAAAACTCAAATAGAGGGAATCCCAGCACGCATGGCCCAACTTGTGGGTTCGATATACAGGCTTTACGGAGGGCTTGGGGCTTCGGGCTTCAGGTTTGGAGTTAAGCATCTGGGGTTTGGGGAGGGCTTGTTTGCAAAGCTCCAAAGATTGCAAGGCTGAGCATTTGCCAATTCGGAGATGCGTGCTTCTGTAGGGCTTGCAGGGATTGGGATTGCAGGCTTTGCTGGAGACCACGGGCCCCTAGAGCCAAGGACAGAAACGGCAATCGCAGCAATAATGAAAAGCAGAATCACACTCCGAAGTTCTCGATCCAGACATCCTACCAAACAACCAAAGGTCGCGAGGCAGGGCCTTCACGATTATCAAAGTATCACTGCTGCTACTACCACTACTGCGACGACGACGACGACGACGACTACTACTACTACTACTACTGCTACTTCTACTACGACGACGACTACGACTAC